TTTTTATAGAATTGAATTTTGCAAAGTAATCTGGGCTTCTTTACCAAAAATTAGGTAGTCATAAAGTAAGTTGGACTAATTATCTGTTTAGGTATTAAGACTTTGTGTTTGATAATTATTTTTGTGCCCCATAGAGGTCTTAGAGTTCAGAGTTTTGTATATAACGACTGTGTTAAAAATCGAAACATGAACACTTGTCTGTGTCGATACCTTTTAAATATTGAATATATTTATACAGAAGTTTTCTTCCGAATTTTCATTTGTTTCTTGATCAACATATCTTGTATATGCCAATTATACTTATTATACTGAGAGTATTCTCTCTCATGCCATAGTTAATTTTATTCTTTTTATTTCACTTATTTATTTTACTCCTTTATTTCACTTTGCGTTGTATACATTGGAGTTGAGTTGAGAAAGATTGAGTTAAGAAGCATAAATGCCTTTTCAACAAACCTGTATCAAAACAAAAAATTTGCAATAATAACAATGTTGTTTTCTATATCAAAAGATATTATATTTATATCAAAAGAAAAATAATGCGAAATAGTTATACATTACAGGTGAATTAATGTTTGAATGTTTTAAATTGATTATTTATTTAGGCTAATTTTTTTTGTCGAATGTGATGTGTATTATGACATAAATAAACTAGAATGGTTCAAATAGTAATGATGAAGCAACAACAGAAATTTGATTAATTTATTGAAATTTGGCTGACTATACAACCTTGTTTCGAGTATTGCCAAGAACTCATCATCAGTGATTATAAAAAATATTCGAATATTTTTATATAATTAGTTTATATGGTAGTTCATATTTACATTCCAACAAATTTATAGTCCAACAAATTTTATACGGACTATTAAAGAATTAAACAAAAATTTAAATATTAAGATCTCTGATGATATATACTAAACATTGTTGTATGGTCAGCCAAATTTCAATAAACTAATCAAATTTTTGTTGTTGTTTCTTCATTACTTTTTGAACCCTTCCTGATTATTTATTATTTAAGTAACTATTTATGTTTAGTGTATGTTCAATACAATAAGTTCACTAAGTACATTTGCTTTAGTAAATAATGTTGATGGGGTTTTTATCTATATTCGTATATTATTTTAAAAATATTATAAGTAAATCGAAAAGAACACGCTTCTTTATTTCTGAAAGTATCTTTTTTACTGCAACCTAAAAGCAAGAATTCATAATGATTCGTTAAAAATCAGAATCCATATTGCTTTGGGAAAAAGAGCAATAAACTAGTAAACATATTCATTAAGAATATTTAGTGTCATATTTAATGTTTCAAGCAAATAATCAAAATATACACTAAATTTAATTTGACTAATTACGGTTTAAAGTTTTTACACATTCACTTGACACTTTTATAGTCTGCAACATGCGTTGTTGACATGTGGCGGCAACCAAAGGAACACTTCATCCTTACTCGAAAGCCAACAAAAACAAAATCAGTAGCAAGAAAAATAGCAGAATTTGGAAAATAAATGCACTTTCATGATATGTAATTTATCCATTAATGTATATTTTTAGCAATTTCAAAAGAAATACACAAACCAAATGAAAATAAATAAAAACATGGACACATAAATTTACTCGAACTCCTCGGTACTTCTCATTGAATGCTGCTGCAGTGCAAGATTTTCACTGGTACGAGGACGTGTGTCTAAATTTGAGTTGCATATTTTCCAAAATAATAAAGATGCTGTTGATGGCAATGTAATTAGAGTGTCTATGTTGCCTGTTACATGTGCCCCATGTTGCTGTGTTGTTGTTGGCATTGTTTTCTTTTTGGTGTTTTATGCAACTTTAAGTATAATGCAACATGCCGAACAATTAGTGGTAGAGTAATAATTGCCTATGTTGCATAGTAGCAACAACAACAACAACACCAACTCTAGCAACAATCGCAAATGTCATATAAGTGGCATTACTATACTTATGGTACTATACGAGTAATATGGACGGTAGCAGGCGGCTTTGTTTGCTGACTGAAAGTGTTGTTGCGGCAATTCTGTTGCCTCTATGCAATCCGAAAATATCGGAAGGCGTCAAGTGGGAGAAACCGACCTTAGATTTTCACATATGAAATTTGAAAGTTCCTGGAAAATATGAAAATGCTTGTGTGCAAACCGTGGCGGGAAGATGCAAACAAATTTTAATTTCGAAAAAATATAGCAAATCTTAAAAATACTTTAACTGCGTGTAAATATAAAAATATTATTTTCCATTTCCTAGAATAATATTTGATATTATTTTTGAGATTTAAACCATATATGAAGTCTTAAAATCAAATAAAATAAATATACTGAAAATGTGAAATAAATAAAATATATAAATAAGCTAATGAAGTAAGTACTTTTATGAGAACGTTAGTTAAATAGATAGATATTATAAATAAATAAATTTTATGTTTTTCAGCTATGTACTTTAAAGTAGTATATTTTTATAACAAATCCCATAAATAATTTTGAAATTTTTAATTTAAAACTGTAATGGGGTTTTTAATGAGTTGCAGAAGTTAATTTGGCCACTGAATTGCTTACTTATAATTATATAGATATATATATATTTGTTCATGTATAAATATATACATTACATAGACACATGTCTCTATATATCTATGTATACACTTATATGCTTGCAGAAATGTTCACTTACAATTGATAAATAGAAGCACGAAAATATTAACTTTGGCTTTATGGAAGCATTCTACCAAATCATATTACAAAATATTAATTTACTATTTAATTAACAGTACAATAATGATAACGGAAGGTGCAATACAAAGCAGACGTCATATTTTAATTAATAATAATTATAATTTCTGAAAAGGACTCTCAAGTGCGTTGGGATATAGAATAAACATAAATTACACAGCAAAAAAGCATATTTAAATAATAAAGGCGTTTTCTTGAACAAAAAATAATATTAATTTACTTAATTGCTTACTTAATTGCTTTTTAAATTAAATTAAAAAAATCTCTTTATAAATATACTTGTATGGTTATATTGTATAGATACCAAATGACAGTCATAGTATTTCATCCATTTTTTAATTTCATTCATACAGTTTATTAAAAAAATCCATGTGGACTCAAAAACTGAGAGACTAGTTAAGCAGATCCAATAATGATTGAAATATGGACATTGTTTAATCGATTTAAAATCTTTTTTAGAGTTATTTAAGAATTTTTTTTTTGATATTGGCAATACAGTTAATAGCTTCTTTAACAAGTTTTTAGTTTGATCTGTTTTTATGTTTGATTTTTTCTTATTTTTTTAAAAGTTATGACTCATACTTTTTTATAAAAATATCCAAAATTAAAGTTATGGCTTCTAGAACCTTTAGACCAAACGCTTAATTAGTCAGTTATTGTGTTAAAACTACTTTGAATAGAAACAATAATTTCAATTCGAAGAAAAGTTTAGATTTTCTTGGATATGGACGGTTTGGTTTTGTTTGAAGATTTTAGGACTGAGAATATAGGCATTTTTGGGTTTTTAGTGAAAGGAAGAGAGTGCAGCAGTCCCGTAGGAAGTTGATAAATTTGTGTTTAATATATGTTGATCTGTAATGTTAGTGTGATTAAGTCTTAGTCTTTTTATATTTATAAGGTTTGTGTTGATAGTTATGTGGGGAATAATGACTTTGATACCAGAAGTTGGAATTATGTATTCGCTTGATATATGCCAATATGTCATTAGGATTACAATTTATTGATTATGAGAGTACATATTTTGAAGTTTAATCCGCATGTAAATAATTAATGTTTGATTTTTAAAATTGTATTTAAAAATTGAATTTCAATTGAATTTAAAGTTCCTAAACTTAGTTGTCCTGATTTTTTTTAAAACTCAAACAACTCTAACACAGAAAATACCACAATAATATTTTAAATATCTATAATCCATAATATTGATTCAATAAGTCTTCCAATATTTCCTAAGATCACTGATAATGAGTGCTTGGCAGTACTCGAAACAATATTGTGTGGTCAGCCAAATTTCAATAAATCAATAAAATTTTTGTTGTTGTTGTTTCTTCATTACTGTTTGAATCTTTCTAGTTGCTTTTCGCTTTAAGACGCTTCACTTTTGAAAAAAAATTTAACTTTAATAGTCAAAATATTAGCAGATTTAAGATTTTTATAGAGAAATAAAATAATTAATTGAATTAAATTATATTTTTTGCTTATGTTTGACTTTAATCTTTAAACATGATTAATTATTAGGTTAAAATTTTTAAGACATATGTCTGAGAACTACTTAAGTTATGGTACATTCAAATAATAAAAATGTATAAATTGTATTTCTTTATTATAATTTCACTTAAATCTTCATATTTCATAAAATTCTGATTTGAAGATTTTCAACTCATGCAATTATTCGTGAGAATGATCAATTCTTTTTATTCTACTTCCATTCTACATTAGAATTAACCGATACTCAAAATCATTGTAAGAAAAACTAAATAATTGAGGATACCTTCCGCATTGTTTGTAGTACCGCCCGTGTCTCATTGTAGCACTACTCTTCCAGTCTCTTTGACTAGTTCAAAAAAATATTATTCATATCCGTTAGTTGCTCTTTTTTGTTTGTTACTTTGATTCCCTCACCTTTTGAAGCCGGTATTTGAGGGAACAAAGGGGCATTATAAACCGTAGAGGATTTAATAATGAAACATATATAATCGCATAATCGAGTGGAACTTTTTTGACAGCCTAAGAAAAAAGAAAAAAAAAATAAGCTAAATTATATAACAAATTAAAGGAAGGAGGGCATAGTAAGATTATAAGCCGTCAGTGAATGTTGCATTAAAAGGGCAAAAGCAACAACAACTATGATATATGCACGAATATAACAAATGTTTCAGTGAATATAGCAATGAGGACATGTTTATGGACACACAAACTGAATTCATATACCAAATTGCATTTCCAAGAGAATCATTGTGGTGAATACGCTTTGCTGGCAATGTGGCCAACTGCCGA